AGAACAATATACTGGTAATTTAGTTAATTTCACTTAATTTTCTGACACTGATCTGCATAACAAGTATTATGAATACAAAAAAAATTGCAAACACGTAAAATTTTGTTTGAGATAGGAATATGTATTGGATACTAATTTAACGTTGCTCCATGTGGGTTGCTGAGGCGTTTTGCCGTGCTGTCCTGTTTTTCCTTGGACATTTTGATGTGGGACAGTATCTCAGTCCTTCCTTGCTGCTTTTGCACAGGGCGTTGTACAGTCTTAATTGGCGCGGAGGCGACTAGTTTAAACACGATTAATCAAGCGAACAAACCAACACGACCCCCGCAACACCATGCGGAGGGAACTCACCGCACAGAGAAAGAGAGAGAAGCCCCAGGAGATTTATCGACGCGAGCCCACGGTGTCTTCCTCGCGAGACTCTCTAAGACACGTGCTGTCTCATAATTCCTGTTACTGTGGAATGTAGATTTCGCTGCCTCCGGGACATTATTATTGCATGTAACATGCACTAAACGCATTGTCCTCCATTAACGATATAGACTAGGTTCCCATGAACGATTTCATAAATAATATTGTCGCGTATACAAGTGCATCGTACTATAGTCTTTATAGTTTATACATACATAAAACTGTTGTGGAACTGTATTCATTTATTTTTTTCGAAAACATTTTGAGACCTACATAAGAACGTTAAGGAGAGTCTAGTCGATTTCCAACTAGTTTATCTTAGCAAGTCATTAAATATTTGAAGGTTTTCTGTATCTCCGACACGCCTTGGTCGATCATCTATCCCCTCCTTAAGAAGATTTTTTATCTTGATTTATCTTAGTCAGTTCGACTAGCAGTATCAATGGCAGTAAAAAAGATCGGGTCACTAACAAAAGTCCGCTTGTTAACTCGCTTAATCTACATGTACGGAGTAGGGGTGTTGGGTACCACAGCGTAGAGGATGGTTAAGGTGAGAGTGAGAAGAAGAAAAGGGGGGAAAGAGCAATGGGCGAATCGGGGGAGATCGCGCGGTTTTTTTCGTTCACTTTGTCGAGTTCATTAACAAGCGCCATGTTCAGGACGCCCGGTGTAGGTACATGAGTGGAGACCCGTCACGTTAATTTGTTGTGCATGCCGTAATGAGTCGCGGAAGTTGCTCCAGAGATGGAGAAGAGAGAAAGAGAGAAAGAAAGAGCGGTACTATTAAGGGCTGTTGATCGTCGCTGCTGGTTCCTGCTGCAGCAGTTGATCTTAACAATCTCTGGTTCTTGCCTTCTTCGTCTCCCTGTTGCCCTCTTTCTACCACCGTTTCCCTGACTTAGGGTCCCTCATTTTCCTTCCTTCCTTCCTTCCGTCCTTCCTTCCTTCCTTTCGGTGGCTTGCTTCAACCTCCTTCCCTCCCTCGGGTAGAATAACTTACTTACGACGCAATTAATTCGTCCGTGTAATTACAGAGCTAATGGCCCGTAAAATTAAGAACCTATACCTGGCTCTCGAGCGTGTTGCACACGTTCTGCTACCTTTCATACCTTTTTATCCCCCTCCTTGTATCCCCATCTACGTATATGTATACAGGGTGCCCTAATGTACAGCAGTGAAACGTTATTCGCTTTAATATCGGCTTCGTGAATTCAAGTATTTATATCTTGATAACGGTTTATTATTTATACGAATATAATATAATTTATATGTTGGGTTCGAGAATATGCAATAACGAATAGAGTCTAATTTAAAAATATTTTCTCGGCTTTCAGAGGATATTTCTAGATTATTAAGATTGAATACACATTATACGTATATGTATACAGGGTGCCCTAATGTACAGCAGTGAAACGTTATTCGCTTTAATATCGGCTTCGTGAATTCAAGTATTTATATCTTGATAACGGTTTATTATTTATACGAATATAATATAATTTATATGTTGGGTTCGAGAATATGCAATAACGAATAGAGTCTAATTTAAAAATATTTTCTCGGCTTTCAGAGGATATTTCTAGATTATTAAGATTGAATACACATTATTATATTATACATGCCATTTCATACCCTGTTCGTATGAAATATTTGTATTATTCATATTTTTCAAGATATCTTGACGAGTCCGAATAAACCGAACACACTGTATATCCCACTCTTGTTCGCTGCATCATTCTTTCTTGTTCTAACTCATACCCTAGTTCGCTCCCTCGTGCAAACCTACATATACAATGTATACATATACGTATATATACAACCGTTCTCTCGTTCGCTTCTGTCTCTGGAGTGTACTCGACTAGACTCGATTAAGTTTATCGCGATTAACGATAATTAATAACGCGTTACCGCGGAAAGTGCGGAGCCGCATGCCCCGAGAGTGGCAGATATAGTCCCAACAGCCCGTGGTGCATGCCACCGCTCTCGTTCTCGAGATTAATGGTACACCGGGGTTGTTAATGACGCGGATGCAGAAGGTAGTTGCGACGCGGCGCGATGGCTAGGAGGTGGTGATGCTATAGGCCCGCAGGCTGTAGGTATATTTACTGCTGGCAAGAAAGAAAAAGAGAGCGAGTGGCAAAGAGTTAAAAAGAAAGATGAGAAAGTAACCGCGTCGAAATAACGAAGCCACGACGCGGACAAATCTGACAGATGATGCTAAATTGCTGCCCGATGAAAGAAATGCCTCTTGCTGGCAACCGTGTACGTATAGGATGTCCACAAAAAAATAATGATGTCATTAAAATAAAATTGTGCCATATAAAATGCTTATAAAAAATATTCACACCTAGTATTTTGAAAGAAATCAGAGTTTGATCAGACTTTTTATTTCGTTTCTACAATAACTAATTACATGAGAAGTGGTAAATAATTAAAAGTATTGAAATCTGATTAAAAACTGCTTTAGAGTATTACAACTAATCATATTATCCGGAGATCACTGTCCGGTTTTGAGATCCGATTAAAAATACATATTAGCTGCGAACCGGCAGATATAATGCTCATTTTCTACGACAGGGAATTAATCACGTGCATAATCTAGTGGTATTAAAAATCAGTAGTAACAAAAAGAGTTTCGTAGAAAATGATCATTAAACCGGCCAGTACATGTTTTTAACCGGACGTCAAACATTGGATCACGAAATTCGGATAATGTGAAAAGGCTCTAATACATTATGCATATTTTGACTCCATTTGGACAAACATAGACCAGTAGTGGCATATGACGAGTGATGTATAATGTAGGGTCAAAATTCAGTGAGTTATATATAGGTATTTGTTCATATTTCTTGCAATCATTATATTTCTGTCTTATCTGAATCGTGGAATTTGTTAAAAATAGGCCAGAATTTGCGAGCACCCTGTAGATATACAGATACAAACGCGAGATGCTAAATGACTGGTCGCGTCGCGCCGTCGTGGCACCGAGTTGACTGTTAAGTAATGACGCTACAAAACGGTCTCTTTTGTAAAATGCTCATTTACCGCAATTATGACCGCCCCTTCGTGGTTCGGCTAATGACCAGCCCGTTGATAGTCCATGAAGGACTCTTCGTATTCGGAAACTTTGTTGTAGAAGTTTCTTGTCGATGTGTCACGTACATACCTCTCGGGACCCATGCTATGCGACGACATAAAATTATTAGCTTCAGTCATAACGTTTTCATTGGATTTTCTAATTCCATACAACCGACGTGATACGTGGATCGTCCATCATTTTACGGTTACGGTTATGATTATCCTGTAACATTTGTCGAGTAAGATTTTATGAGCAAGATTTTCCTTCATTTCTTTCCCCATGTTTATCATTCTTTCAACCTCTTACTTTCGTGTCTCTGCTTTAGTGTCGATTCTATTATAGTATGTTGTGCATTGTATATTTTTAAAATAGTTCCACATTTTTTCTATTGTATGTGACGGCTCAAATATAAAATGAGTAACATCTTGTATTATACATGTGGTACATTTTGTATTGTATGTATGTATTTTGTACATCTGATTTTCACACTCTCACCTAAGCTAATAAAGAATTAATGATTCGTATTATTTATCAAATTTATATGATTTCATTATATCTTTGAATTTCATTTGTTACAGTATTACGAGATGTCGTATGGCCTAAACGTGGAGATGCATAAACAGGTAAGTTTCAACTTCTATTTTCAAGCATCATATCGAACTCGTCTCTTCGCAGTAGCTGTCTTCGCTTTCGTGCACGAATTTCAGACATAGGCTCTCCTCTCTGGTTGTGTATATGGTTTTTTTTCTTTCTCTCGAATCGTGCACGATGCACTCTTTCGTGGCTCGCGTTGATTCAACGTCGCGTGTTTGCCAGAGTCATTAAGCGTGCGGGATAAGTTTGTCCTGTGTACACAGCCGAATAAACATTTGCCGCGATGACTCGACGACACCGGCGCGAAGCTCTCTGAGAAAATGCACTCGCCACTTCCGACTACGTTTACAAAGCTTCGCTATTCCGGGAACACGTTTCGCTTGTTCAATAAAACCAGTAGCTCATACATTTTACGGTTTTGAACGAACTTCTCTCGTTCGTTTACGGGGTGTCCAATTGGCAAATACTTCCGTGATTTTGTATAGAAAGCAATTCAAAACATAGAGACTGTTCAGCACGTATCCCACGATATCAATTAATATGCTTAACATTTTATAAAACTGGGGACTATAAAGATCTGTACATGAATATTCCTTTTGGAAAGGATTTACGACGAACCCTTCCGGAACACATTCATCAAATTGTTTAATCAAAGCTCATAACAAGATTAGTTTCCGCGGTTCCTATGCAAAGAGGCATAAGAACGGCTCGTTAGAGCGGCGAAACCGAGCCATGACGCGTGTCTCGTTAATCATTCACCTTATGTCTGGCCACGTCGCTTATTTCCGCGGTGCTACCGCCTCTTGCCAGCCACCCTGCGACAAAAATAGAACCACGGCTCATCCGCGCTAGAAATACGCCGTGCCGCGCCGGTTCAATGGATAGCCCGCGCGTTTCGCGTATTTTCCTTGGCCATCATGGCGAGAAGAAGATTGTTTTCCTTGCAGAGTTGTTTTTGGTGAACATTGAAAATATTACCGCGAATGGTGTCTCGGGAAAATTTACAGGGAGAAAACATTGATAAGAATAAGAGTGACGTGTTTATTTAGTTGAGAAATTCTGAAGCAGAACTCTAATTTTGCATTCCAACTTGATAATTAACTCTTTTCACAAATTAATTTTTACAATCTGGAAATGAATCCAAACTTCTGGTATTCTTTTTCTTTGAAAATTTCATTTTCTGCATTCTTTTTTTATCATTTGAGAAACCAGCGATGAAGAGAATTGGATAAAATGTTGTTTCCTTGAATCAATGGTTTGTTAAAAATGTCCACGCTTCAACGATTGGCTTTAGAAGAGACTCGGTCCTGAAAATATTTTCGATGTGTTCGCCCAGCTGGAAAACATGTATGTTCGCCGCGAAAACGAAATAAGTAAAGGCCCCATCCTCGTTTTATGCACTCTGTTATCGGCGCGTTTTACTATCCGTAGCTCTCACGCGTCGACCGATCACGCACTGTGCTAACAATAAGTTAACACACGCAGTGGGCGGTAAGTCATTTTAGACTTAGAACTCATCCTTTTTAGTCGACTGCGCGCTACGCAGAGGGTTCTGTTTTTCCACATGTATTTATGTCTGCAAGATTCTTTCGGAAACCGGTGTAGAATCAAAACGTTTCGGTGGACTTTTATGGACGAAGTGTCAATCGATTTGACATTGTTTTAAGAGTAACTCTGGTCTTTCGTTATTCTTTAAATAATAATTTTGTTAATCTATGTATTTTCCGTAACTCCCTTGAGTTCCTTTTTCACAGTTCAACTTTCTCTTTCAACACGTGTCTATTTCTGTTCTCGTTACAACTTATACAAAATGTAGATCTAAATGATTACTTTTGTCATTTTCTTTCTGATATTCAAATACATGTACTCAAGCTATTAGTTGATGATTATCATTCGTTTTTGCAGGCTGAAATATCGAAAAGGCTAAACGCGATCATTGGACAAATCTTGCCATTTCTCTCTCAAGAGCATCAACAGCAAGTAGCAACCGCTGTTGACAGGGCGAAACAGGTCACAATGACGGAACTGAACTCCATAATTGGGGTAAGTGCGCATCATGTTCTGTAATCGATTAGTTTACGAACTACCGAATAAGCAGTTATTAAGTTTAACGTCAAAACGTCGCAACAGGTGTAAATTGTAAAATTAACATTACGATTAGATAACAATCATTTGGTGATGGACAGTGTCACTTTTTAAATCTTGTAACTTCGATATCTTACGAAGTAAAGAATTTTTTTTATATTTTTTTTCAGATAAAAAATATAAATAAAGTTTAGGGGAAACAATGCGATTTTCAATTTATAGAATAAAAAGAGCCAGATCAGTTATTATAAAGATTAGACATTACTGGTCCTCATACCATAAAAGCTGAGCCAGAGAATAAGACTAGCGTACTTCTTCTCATCGACGTCGGTCTTGCGATGCAAACCGAAATTGGCATTCGGCCGCCACCGCATGTATAATTGAGTTCAAAGTTGGCACTCGCGTGTACGATTCGAATAATCCCCCGGTTGTCGATGGTCTGACCAAGCCTAAATGAACGCGTCGCACTCTTTAATCTACTTTTTATACATGCGCGATACGTATTAAAATTCATGTGGCTGTGAGAAAAACCGGTTTCCGGTTAAAACAGTTCACCGTGTGTATTTAACATTTAATTACATCGAGCAATCATTAACAAGAATGTATCAGTTAAATATAAGAAAATAAAGTGTCTATTAAAGTTAAAGAAATTTATGTATTCTTATTTGATGAATGTATGAATACATCAATCATAAAACCTATCAACACAAGAGAAACTATTAGGTATATGCGTCTGATTAAAATCACTCTTCAAGTCGTCCTGAATTTAATGGCAAGCCCGACCGCTACAAATCGCCTAATCGAGGTCGTGACACAAACCGCAATCTGCAGTTGCGTAATTCGCGTCATCGGCGTGGGGGGCATAATCAGTGCGTGCGCTCAGTGCCAGTAGGGTACAAGGTGAAGTGCCGGTAGTGCGCGGCACGTGCACGTGCACTGTGTTGCGGTCGTGTATAGTACGTGCTACATACGCTAGCAGCTAGCGTACCCCTATCGAAGTGGGTTCTGGGGTCGAAACTCTAAATAAAGACGGGGAAATGAAGTAAAGGCAGACAGAACGGATGAGCGTGCGAGAGACGATGAGAGAAGAGAGGCTGAAGGAACGACGAAGGCAAATAGACATAAGCGCCAACCCCCATGAATATGTATTACTCGGTAAACAGGGGTTGAATCAATATTTCGTTTAATAACACTGTACGCTGGAACGCTATTCTCGATCCCTTCGCCTTGTCTTTCCTTCTCTCTCATTCACCCTCTCCGTCTCTCCCCCTTATCCTCCGTTTCCGTATCTGATTGGAGCTCTCTGTTTCACCCCCTTTGTTGTCTCTCGTCATCTCTTCTTCCTTCATCGTGGGACTTGTACTTTCCTGTTCATAAGTATGAGGAAATCCTCGATTTAGGAACCAAAGAATCATCATGTTCACGCAAATATAAAAAATAAATCTTTGGTTTATCTATCCACATTCATCGAACTGTATTCTAATGTGCTTAATAAATAATAAGATTGGTTCAATGGAATAAATGCGCATTAATCATACGAAAGCACATCGTCTCAAATTAAAGAATAAAGAATATGACTTTATTTTCTATGCTTGCCTCAAGAATAGGAATTTCATGATTGTCCAATTTGTTACTGCGAATAAGTTTGTTGCACGTAAACTTATGAATGGGAGTGTACTGTTTTCTGCATACATAGACAGCTGACCAAGCCCTGTTGATAGAGGGGTGCGTTCACACAGACGTGCAGGGTATTCCCTGACACGTATTTAAACGCACAGGTATGAACGAGTCGCACCTCGGAGCGACGCGACGGTACCGATTCACCCCTCGGGCATTTGAAGCACCCAGAGCCAGCAGCCGACCCCTTCGGAGGCACCCTCGGTGTTCTCGCGTATTATTCACGCCGCGTTAAACCTCGTTTGGGACTATTACGTTTCGTTTGGCACGACCCGGTCCCGGTCCTTGCCTCGAATACGAATTGAATACCGTCGGGGGCTCGTGCACGTTCGACCGTGGCCGCTCCGATTTTCGCTGTGTATCCCCGTATTTATCGCGAACAAGCACCCTTCGGCTCCCGGGGTTTTTTTGCTCCGCGACAGGGAGCGCGGAGTAATTGCGCCCGGCGAAATGCGATTTCCGATGAAAATAACCGGCTCGTCGATGCATTTTCCAGACCCGCCCTCGTTGCCGTTCGAACGTTACGCGATTATTATTCGTTCAACGCTCGAAATTGCACGTTCACGATGCGTGTGTGCGCGTGTTTTTTCCTCTCTATTCTTCGTTGGAATCTCTTTGCGAGACGGACCGGACAACGATGTAACTGGCTTTTATACTTGTTTGCAGACTAGTATCGGCGTACCGGGGGTGTCAAAATGTAATCGATACGTTTTGTTATGTATGAAGTGGGAAATGATGATACGGTACAGTTACCTCGTAACGCATAGTGTTCGGAATAAAAATGGTAATTTTATGCAAATGCATTTGTCGGATTGGTCGATGAATCAATACTCGCGAATTCTTTGAAACGCGATACATGTATCCACGTTATAAACAGAGGAAAGGAGGGTCGTTGACCTGTATATGTACTGCACTAGTGACGACAATTCAGCTTCTAGCATATTTTTGTAGAATGACTCTTAACTCGGATCGGAAACGTATATAACTGTGTGTTTTTGTCATTTATTGATGTTCATTTAATGGCTCGGTTAAATTTAGATCGTGTTACGGATTATCTTCGATTTTTGATAAAATTGAACATTCAGTTATTTCTGTCAAAAGTAGATATTTTAAAACGCACTACTCTTCTGTTGTAACTAGGTTGATATATGTACAGGTAGTCTGGTTGTAAGCATTCTGTGAAACATGCATGTTTGATATAAATTGCGTTTTTGGTTTGACCATAATATGTACATTTCTTTTCCAGTTAATTTCATTTTATTTTATCTGTATTCTATAGTAAATGCATATTTTCTTTTAAGTATGAAAACCATCCTATTAAAAGATCTTCTTTTTATATGAATATATTATCATGAATTTAATATTTTCAAATATACTAAAAATATTTTGTATCTCGTATGCAATCACCGTGCGCACGATACTTTTTTTGTAGAGTATTGAAAAATTCCTCAATAAATACCGCATAAAACATCAAACGCTGTATATCGTTTATCGTCGACGTCGATGAAAGGTTCGAAAGCGTCGCTTCGAAAAACGCGGGGCGTATCTTAAAAAATCGATATCGCTGAAAAATGAACGTCAACGAGGACCGACCGATCGATCGACCCCTCTTGCACCGTCTCGTGGGTCGTTCATCGAATGGGAACCTCTCTCTCTCTCTCTCTCTCTCTCTCTCTCTCTCTCTCCTTTCCATTCACCCTCCTTTCCCCTCTTTCGACTATGAAAAAAGTTGTTGCGCGTCAAAAGCCCCTTGCAGGAAGTCGAGTGGCCGCAAGGCAAATTGCAAGCTACATCCGTGGAGTAGATACACGTGCGTAGAGGCGGTGCAAACGCGTCCCTGGGGGGTAAACTGTGCTGCGGGAAGACCGTACGAGCCGTGTGCGTATGAACGAACCCCACGTAGCGCGACGTGTCGTCTCCCTCTCTCTTGGCCCATTCAGCGTCAGTCCAGGAAAATAACTATCGTACACAATCGGCGCTTACACCCGAGAGGGGTTATTTCGCATAATCCACCCTCGATGGTGCGACCACGACCCTCAGTCCCACGTGCGTAACCCTCCCTCTTTCTCTCTCTGACGTTCGGTCCCTAAATACCTAAGTGAAATCCATGATAAGCACGATTCGTACACGTAACGAGTTTACCGGCCTCTGTTATCCCCTCTTGATCTTATACAGGATTTCGACCCCCCAGTTTCTCTCTCTCTCTCATTCATTCTGTGCCTAAATGTTTCTGCCTCTCTGTTTTTCTTTGGTTTATCCGTTCTCATGCTCCGTCAATTCATCCTCCTGTTTCCCGTCTCTTCTTATGGGGTAGATTTTCGGAACCGCGTGACCATCGGCGCTACTCTGTAAAGAGTTCTTAAACAGGGATTCGTTTTCACCCCTCTCCGTCTGTGGGCGAACGCGTAACGTCAGGTTGGATTTTCTCGGGCATGACATCTCATCCCGACTCGCTCGTGTCAAGTAAGGAAATGTACACTGAGAAAGAGGTAGTTAAAATTGGACAGTCTTGCGGCTTGAAGTTATCAATGTTGACATACGTATTATCTTGATGCGAGCGACATTTTTATAGTAATGCTTTACCCTCATAAGTAGTTTTATATAAGATAGATAAACATTAATTATACACTACTATAATGTTAACTACTTTTATTTTATTTGTATTTCGAGTTCAATTCTGATCAATTCACGTTTGAAAGTAGATTGATTAAATTATAAGTACCGTTAGACGTATAATCGCATAGAATTGTTATGTCAAATAATGGTGACAAGCTAGTATGCATACGTGTTACAGCAACAGAGACCCGATATATCAAGACTGCTACAGCAAATGCACGCTCAACAACTGCCACCGGGACCAGCGATAGGTGCTCATCCAGGTTTACCCGGACTTCCGGGACTGGGACCAGCTGCTGGACTTCCGGTGCCGACTTCCGCCTCGGCTCTTCTTGGTCTTGGCTTAACGCCGGGCGCCGCAACGGCACCCGGCACAACAGCCGCTCATCCACTCTCCATGTTGAACAAACCGGAATTGCATCGTGGACAACCCGACGACTTGAAGAGCAACGGTGGTGAGTGTTTTTTCTTATTTGTGTTTTGTCAATATTTTTTGTAAGTCAATTTTTCAATGCTTCAAATAATGAAATGAATGAAAACAAATAACCACTTCCTACCAAAACCAGTTGCATTGAATCGTTGACAATTCCAATATAAATGAACCAGTAGTAAACAGAGTTAACTACGACAAATGCAATCATGTACAATGTACATTGTTTAACATACACTTTTATTTCTTCCTTTCCTTGAAAATGGTTTCTCTATAACAGAATTACTTCTTACAAGTTGTAAGCAGATTTTAATTGTTATTACTAAGAGGACAGTAATATATTCATATAACAGGCTTAAAATCTCAGCGAAGTTATTGCATCCGACATGGGAATCACGCATGAAATTAGCGCCAGTTAATTCCCGTGGTATCTCTAACAACGCATTATATAAATACTCGTGACGATCACAAAAAACCACAGAAGACCCCGGTACATTCCCTAGACTACTCTCCTCTTGGCAATCGAATTCCTCGGTTGTGGCTCGCTCCACGGGAATCGTAAAATCGGGGAATACTCGTTATACGCATACCTTCCGCTCTTTCACACGATTTTAATTGCCACCTCTGCGGGTAGCGCAGCGGGAAAAGAAATTAACGAAATTCCGAGCTTTGGTCACGTCCGAGTGGCTACCGCACCACCATATAACGAATCCCACCTGCCGCGAGCCAGAGTTTCCACCCTGCAAACCGTTCCAGATCACCGGGAATATTTTTCTTCCTTTTTTGTCACCATCCGTTTGATCCCGCTTTCGCGATACGCTCGATAAAAAAAGCGATAGTCGACCAACCGTATATGCAGTACGCGCCTACAGTGACTGCAGAAAGTATTGGTATATTTTTTAACGAGGTATTTTATGATAATACAGAAAAAATTTCATTTCCATGAATCTATTTGCTGAATACTGAATCGATTTATCTTCTAAGATTACTATTACTTCCTTAATGTTCAAATTTTTCAATCTTAGTAGAAACTGTTTCATTTCAGTATAGAAGTTGTTACGTTATAAATATATATATGTATAAATGTGGGAATTATTCATGCGTGCGTTCTGGGCTGAATAATACGAAGCTTAATCTTCTTGAACCCTCTAATGAAATCAGCATTTAAAGGCAACGAATATAATTGCTGTCAATTGCCACTACTTTCTGTAGCCATTGTACAAACGTATACGTACACCGGAGAAACCGAGAACGAGGAACGAGGAATTCTGGATTAGCACGGGGCGGAAGGGGTGGAAAGAAATATGTAGCCAACGCTGCGCGGCTCGAGCGTGTGGCTCGGCTCTGCCTGGCTCGCCCGACTGGAAATTTTCAAAGCGCTTTTCGGGTATCCGCTTTCGGGCGGGGTGAACGTGTTTGCGTCACCCTGTTAGCGGACACTGGCGGTTTTGAGCGAAAAGTGCATAAATATGCATGAAGATCATTTATACGGGCGCCAGGCGCTCACACATCTACTACTATTCTTGTCGCATAGGTCTCCCACGCTTTATCCCTCGCTGTTGAGTTCCGGTTCACTCTCTCTCTCTCTCTTTTTCACGGTGGGTACGTTATTAACATTTCACCGACGCGCGATGTGGATGGGATTTCGACTATTTTTTTCCTCGTTCAATTCTCGTCTTCGTCCCTCTTCTTCACGATACTCCAATTTTATCCGGCTCGGCGTCATGAAAATGATTTTTTTTTGTTTTCATATCCATGAAAACATTTCACACCGGCTTTTGACTGACGACTGTTTCCATTTGTCTCGTTACAGGTCTCAGCTCGACCGAGGAGAGACACGTGAGTAGAAAACATATTTCATTCTATTTTTTTTGTCCTCTCCGATGCTTTTTCCTCCTCTTCCTTTCTCGCGTTTGTGTTTTCTTAATACTACAGAATCATGAATTGCGAAAGCGTAAGGATTGAACGTTCTAGACTAAAGTATTACAAGATACTTTCCGGATTGCAATTATTTTTTTTTACAACTTCTATAAGAAGTTTATCATATTAATTTTGTAAGCTGTTTTGAAGGGGCAATAATTGCCGAGAGTCAAGAGGATTTAGTTATTAAATGTTCAGTGTTTCATTTTTGTATCTCATTTTGCTGTTTAAATTGTTTCGTTACTGTTAACAAGTAATGCCAACATTTTTCGGCCAGAGTGTATAACAACTTGCAAATCAGGCGCAACGATGACGCCGTTATGTTTGAAATAAAATTATTAATGAATGTTAAAGAGGCAACGGTGCGATGCAGCGTGGTGTGATGCTTTTCGCTAGAGTTTTCGAACGTGAACGTCAGAGATACAAAAGGGGGGATGTAAATGCAACAAAGTGAGAAAGGGAAAGAGGGAGGGGAACAGAGTTGTTGGTAGAGATGGGGCGCAGTTTATTTTTCGTGTATCGTAATTAAGGTTTACTACGCAAATGAAATTATGTCAGCGCCGCTGTTTTATCGCGGATGAAACAATAATATGCGTCGAGATTTACGGTACGCGCCTACCCATATTTTTACTTTCCCGGTAAATATTTCTCTGTTGAAATGCGCGTACAAATTTATCGAAATGTCGCGTTAACAATCGGATTATCCTTGGATACTTCTACGTACGTGCCCAATCTATCGCATAAATAAATAAATAGATATGCGAACAGATGGGCATTTTTTACCGCTTATATCCTCGTGCTCGTCCGTGCTATTCCCTGTTGTGGAATTTTCAAAGGATTTAATAACGTAAATAAATACATCGAATTGAACTCGATGGGACGTCAAAAAATCGTCACTGTATTTTCAACGATTAAATTTGACTCAGCGAGCAGTGCCACCCTGTTAGTTAATTTATGAGATTATTTAATACTGCAGATTGAAAAGAAGTTTCTTCGTCTCTCGATTGCTAACAGTAAGTCAAACTTTGTAAATGAGAAATTTATTTATCATAGAAACGTTTGATTTAGAATGCTTAACAAAGAATCTATGAGTAAATTTGAAAATGAACTGTGCTGAAGGTATAAATGTATCTATCCAATTTCGAATATTCGTTCATTCGTTCGTTCGTTCGTTAGTATCCATTTATAGATTCGTTTTTTATATTGGTAAATTGAGGGCAAAATTGTTCATGGAAAATTGAAATACATTTTTTCTTTTTATCAGCCAGATATAAAATTTGATTGAAGTAGGTATAACGTACACAGATAAAAATACCACTTTTGATGTTTTCTAGTTTTCATAGAAATGATAAAGTACATATATCGTTTATTATTTTATATTTTAAGTTCAGAAAGATTAAAGTACTTATTGATGTTTACCTTCAAATACGTTATTATAAACAATTGTATGTTTGAAGAAGGTGAATCACACACACGCTTGATAAAAACTGATAAGAAAATTAAATTCACACCGTAATGGTTTACATTGTCAAACGGAAAAATATTCCGCGTACATGACGCACGCTTCTTGCACAAGTTTATATCTGCAGTAATCCATTGAAGTTTTATTTATAGTTCATCACCTAATGTCTATCTTATGATATTGTACACTCACTTCACTTTGACGATATCAGATTTTATGAGTGTGTACGATAAGTAATACATTGAACGACACGTCGGTACATCTTGTAATCAGTTTATTTATACATTGGACATAGTATTTTGCTTTATTCATCCGCATAAACGAGGTATTCGTTACGCATCTATGCGTATTTCCTAATGCTGGAGCGTGAATCATGCCGCGCGTAACGCGGCTTAAAATGCACGAACAACGTACTCGAGGCATGAGTACTACTCGCGACCTGACCCCGTGCCGTGTATTACAGCCGCATTACACGCGCGTAACTTTTCGTGCGCGTGAAGGGTTACAACGAGTGCTTCGGTCCTACTTCGCTCACGAGTATCTACTGTACGCGTAATTATGTTTCCGACGAATGCACGAGCGGTGATATAAAGTGGCGGGCGCTGAAAACGAGGAGGCTGGTTTGAAAAGTGGAAAAAGAAACCCTACGCGTGGTTACTAAGAAAAGACAGCTTTGCCCTTCGACGCCTCGTGTCCGCGTTTTCTCCCCCGAATTCAATGCTTCCTGATTTTACGCTGACGTCTAGGAACTCGTTTTCTTAGGAAAATGGAAAAATTTCGTTGCTTACGTATAGCGATTATAAAATTAGTATGAGACAAGAAATAGTTTCTTTAATGCCATTAAAAAGAAACGGCTTTAAACAAGAAATGAGCATTTACTGTATAAACTTCAGTCGTTCTAATAAATTTCTAAACTAAACGAGAAAAAAAAAAGAAGAAAAGCGAATTCTGCATGGGAATAAAAATTGCCTGGCGTATCCGTTTCCGTTCCATTGGTTTCGCGAACAAAGGACCTTCGTTAAATCGAACGAGAAACGGAACGAATCCGTGCACGGTCTCAACCTAAAGTTACCAAAGTAATTACAGACGGATACCAAGCTCGATTGTATCAAGCTGAGGAAATAAGGACCGCTTGCCCACGAACTTTCTCTTTCTCTTTTTAAAAACTCTTCTTTTCGGCTCTTATAGCCTTGGGATTCGCCTCGATAGAAAATGCAAGTAACGATCCTTTTCTTGCGAGCACTGCCAAAATAACAATAGGATAGCCGTTCAAAGTTTGACTGATTAGATTCGAATACTCATATATTTGTAGGAAGGAACACAGAGTTGATTGCCTTTAAATAAATTATTATGAATTGAATAATAATTATGAGATTAAATGTGTATCCGAAAGAGAAAAATACGGTCAAGTTAGTAAGGCACTTTTTTGATTAGTGGCCTAAGAGATTTGCACGATGCTGTAGATAAAGAGGCAGGACGGAAAACAGAAAGAAAAGAAAGGAGTAGAAAAATAAGAGAAATAATGTAAGAAGCGGGGAGCACCCATAAAGAAGGAGAAGAGAACAGAGGAGATAGGAGCGTGTATTATAGGTTTGCCGAGCCTGTAATCATCGCGGGACCGCGAAACGCCCATCGACGCCCTTTCATCCCTCGCCATTCTATTTTTCTCTCTCCTTATTCCCGATCCAACCTCGGGCAGTCTTCTCGGTTTTCTCGTCCCTGTTTCATTCTGTATCAACCGTGTCTGTTCGTCTTGTTCCATCTTACATCGCGCCGACTCTATAATCATTATCAACCTCTTCCCAAAGCATCTCCTCTTCCCCTTTTTACCTCTCTCCCGTGCTTTCATTTTTTTTCCTCTCCTTTTGCTCTGCGGTTCCTTCCTTTAATTTTATTTTTTTCCGGCCCCGTGGCTCTACTCCACCGATCTACCTATGTATGCTATTCGTGGAACGAGTCGGGACTGTTCCTGTTCCTCGATTTTTCTTGGATTTCGACCTTCAATTCTATTAAGCTTCGTTACGAAGTAGTTTGGGACCTGGTCGCGTCGCGTGCTGAAAAGGGGCGTACGAGCGTGTAGAACATGTAGCCGTCTTTCTGTGAGAAGAATTTTTAATTTCGATGCGAGTCGATTGTGTTCGATATTAATCAAACCGGATGAATTTTATTTTCGCCGAGTCTGTTAATCGTTATCAATGATCAGCGTTTTGTAACATGAACACGAAACGGGGTAAACGAGAAAATGACGAAGGAACTTCTTTTATTAAGAAATTGGGTTGATAACGATCAGCCTGTTATTTATTTCATTTTCAACACTACGCCTTGTCACACTCGTATACGTGCATTACCGTAAACCGTAGAATCTAGGTATCGAAAACTCGTTCAGCAGGCGGGAACGCGAAGTCGAAATCGATTATCGCGAACGGTCGCGTGACAATTGATAATAACCGTCGACGCGGGTAATTACGGTTTTGTCACGTTGATCGAACCACAGGAAACACATTGCTAATCTATTGTTTCAGTCTACGCCGGTTGTCTGTTATCTAACCAGAGATTAACGATCGCTTAAACGTGTACTTCTGTTCGAAGCTGAAGCAACGTTTCCTTCACTGATAATCATTAGTTCGCTTCTTCCTCGCCTTGGAATCTCTTTGATCATATGCAGAAATAAAAAATTTAAACTGTCGCGTGAAAGCATAGTTGTTATTCGCTATGGGTGAAATCGGAACGACGACTAATAACCAATTATTACTGTTCTCATATTACCATTCACGTATTGATCTCGAGTGCGAATCACGAAAAGAACTATAACTTCTGTCGCGTTACAGAGAAGTTCGATATCGCCGGGTGATAAATACAGTCGTCCACGAACACCCCAGGAGACGCACCATTCGCATCATTCTCAGAATCACCACGATCATCCCATGCACATCAAGAAAATGAAAAAGGAGCAGGATAAGGATATCGGTCATGTAAGTGTACATAACGTATCATTCTTTTTGTTAATAGAAATATCATGAATGCACTATGATGAATTTTGGGGAATTTTTATTTTGATGAAATCAACGTACGTAAATCTGCAGAGTATCTATAGTTACAATTCCGATGCTAAGCTAATACAGTACGAAGGATACATTGAACCGTGATTGAGGTTTCAAACAAGATAACGCTGATTAGGCTCGTCAATACGTAACTCAAACACAGACCAGAGCAAGCTCAAATAACTCGTAAAGTAAACGACTAAATCTTGAATATCTCGATAAGCGAAAAACGTATTGATTTCTCATTTATCTACTTTTGGAGTACACTACAAATTGTATTTGAAGTTGTAGGGACCATGCGTGTGTTAAATTAAAAATTAACTATGGTACTTAAATTTATCGTTACATCAACGTTTGTGAATCGTCGTTGCTCATTTTTATGGATTTAGTTTAACTATGTAATAAACAACACTATATTCCTTAACTGAATTAACGCTAACTCTCTCTTCGAACTAAATTATTGGGGTATTAGATGACGCGATATACACGATGATAATTTGGCAACTATCGCGGAATAACCTTCTGGTTACACCATTTCTCCAGAGTGACGGCGAGAAGAGCGATCAGGACCTGGTCGTGGACGATGCCAGCGAGGGACCAACGAGTCCGGTGGTGAACGGGACAACGTCGCCTCGCGAGAACGGCCTCGACAAGGTACCCCCAATGGGTGCCGGTGTGCAAACGAAGAAGGACGTACCACCACATTCACCCAGAAGTGGAACCAGCAGTAATGCCAGTACGCCCTCGGCTAAGAAGATGGAAGAACGGGAGAAGCCAACGACACCAATTTCGAAACCATTGACGCCGACCTCTGGTTCCGCGATCGGTGCAAGTTTGAAGCACTCGGGATCGGCGAAGATACTTCAAGGACCACCGCCCCCCGGTGTGCCCAGCGCCTATCCGCCTCATTATGCTCCCGGGCCACCTCCTCACCATCTGGCACCGGCGGGTCAGCATCCTCACGTTGACATGATGGGTTACAACGGATATGTGGCACCCAGAGCACCACCGTCGCTTCAGCAGCTCTACGATCCCCACGTGGCCATGAGGGCACCCATGGGATCTGTAGGAGTACCTGGAGGCAAACCGTGAGTATTATAACTCGAACCGTTTATTAAGCATTTATCATGATTTCGATCTAATGTGAAAAAGACGACGCATAGATAATTTCCGAACATTTTTAAGGCGGTAGACTCCGATAACGGCGTGATAAAGCAGAATGTCAATGTTATCTGCATTAAACAAAAATATAGGTGTACGTCCTTATGTAAGAAATGTTTTGTGTCGTTTGGATTGAAGTATCTCCTCGAAAAGACGAAGGTTAAATCTGGAGTGCTCTGATCAGGATTTAATTAAAACAAATAATTTTTTTATTATATAAAATGACTGGCTTTCTTCATAGATATCTTTGTTTAAACTAATAACCATTTACCTAAATATTTGTGATTTTGATCTCCATTATACTAATTGGCTGACTACCAGAATTCTATCACTAGAGCGCAATATGTACCCAGAGGGTGAGGACAGTGGCAGTTGGTGTGTAGAGCCTAGTCTACGTTTACCTCTCATAGTAGTTGTACCCTAATCCTAAACCTCACTCATCTAGTTACTAGATTCTAGTATATCAAATGTTCAAGCCACGTTTGGAGATCGCTTGATGAAGCCCTACAGATTAATATTTGATTCAAAGATCAAGCATTCGTGCGTCGACTAGTGATTCGAGGAACATTTGGTACTCGACGTACATATCATTGTTGTGTCAAGTGTTCAGTGCAAATACATACATAATGCTTACATACTAGAGGTACATATGTATATAACAATCTTATTGGTCGAACAGTAAGGTATTGTTAGCGTTCAATTCTCTTGGAACGATAAGATAAAATTATGAAATGGACGATTAGGTTGTTGGTATCGCCTTCATTATCAAGTAATATCTGAGACATTAAACTCCGAAACAAACGGTGAATGAAGATTGAAATTGTGCGCTTTGGAGTAAAAACGTGTCTGCGCTATATAATAAAATAACGTGATTACACGTTCTTGAGTACGCTTAATCCGCGATGTTATCAAATATTTGTTGCAATTACTTGTATATAAACGATAGTCGTTCAATCAATAAATATGTTGAAACTACGAATCGAGACGAGTGGAACTTTCCAGTAGATATATCCTTAGTTAATTAAGCTGTTAATTAGTTAAGCTGTGTAACAACGTGTTAATAATCTCCAGTTTAAGGTAACTTGCTGGTCTTTCTTTTATCGGTATTGCATCTCGAAATTATGCATGTTTCCTACTTATTTTATGTACAAGTATATTTATTAAATTCTACAAATCGGAACTTTTGATACGTGCAAAGTTCAAAACTCGCATTACCTCGATATCCGCTAGAAGATTACTGTCATTATATCTTCCAGCTAATAGAACGAATATCGTTCTGATTCTCTGAGAAATAAAAACTTAGAATCGAATGACGTAAATCCATATTTTAAGCCAATTTAATGGGTAACATTGATATTCTGACGTATCACGCCGCTGCGCTGACGGAGTGTATCCTCATTAGCTATATAGTCAATCCCAAAGTTTATGCAC